CCTGCTTTAACCCAACCATCAGGTGGTTGATCTGAGGGATTTACCTGCTGTTTGTCTTCTAGCTTTTTGTTCTGCCAGAATATTCAGCCGGTTGGTTCTGATCCAACCAGAGTTCCTGGTCCTAGACCGTGGTTTCTGTGATGTCCTTGTAGGTCTCTGAGGTGCTGGTCTGTCTCCAGTTCTTCCACAGATAGTACTTGGTGGACCTGGAAGGGACGGCAGCTGAGGCGATGTAGCGAACAGATCTCATCACAGAGGCCTGAAAGCTGGGTGTTCTGGCCGTGAAGAGGATGAAGATCTGAAGGCCCTGGAGACACACCAACAGTGGGGGGGTCAGCATCCATGACTGAGTCCATCCAGAAAGTTTTTACATCACTGGTTCTGTTCCAGCTTTACTCAGTCAGGGAACCTCGATGAGGAAAGGAGCGGTTCTGATTCACACTGCAGCCTGAAGGGACCATAATCTGATTTTATCGCCCGTATGGGACCTGGATCTGACCTCTGACCGACAGTTTGAACAACACACATCGATTTGTTCTAATCCGACCCAGACCACTTGGTTCTGTGGTTCTGAATCTGATATGAATCTAATCCTGCGTCTGAACGGCCAGTTCGCATTCATCCGACCTGTTCGCCATTAATACTCAACAAAGGTCACTATTCTGCATCTTTCTGCACAGAAGTGGCGCGAAAAACAACAACCATGGTGGACGATGATCTATCTGTTTATTTAACTGGACTAAATAGTTGAATACTTTTTTCCCACGACAATTTGGCGTTGTCGGCAGGATTCTCCTACGGCAGATTTTTACTGAGTCAGCGATTGTCAGAAGGAACCACCTGGAGGAAGCAGCCTTCCAGCCTCAACGCCCCGTTAGAAGGTTGAGGGAGCGAGGACTTCTGGCATCCAGGTCCCTGGAGGTCAGCAGGAGGTCAGCAGGAGGTCAGCAGGAGGATCAAAACCAAACTGTTCTTATTGAGACGGTGAGATGAATCTTTGTCGGCACAGTTTAAATTAAATTTCAAAAACAACGTTTCAAATATGAAAGATTTCTAACAGATCTAAAGATTATTAGAAATCAAATAGTGGAAGAATTAGCTCAAACAAAGTTCTCTTTTTTTCTATAAAAAATAAATAAATTAACAATTAATAGATGAATAATTTTTAAAGCACTAAAACTAGTATAATACTAACCTAACTACATAGCGTATATAAACATATAAATACATTCATACATACATGATAAAAGATAACTTTTCTTTTGGGGAGAGAACCCAAAGAAAGGAGAGTTTCTCTCTAAGCACTGAGACGAAGGTTGCAGGTATCACCAGAACAGATCTAATATTACTGAGATATTGGTAATCTAGAGTGGCATCTCCCTCAAATATCCATCAGAGGATCGGTGCGCATATTGGAAAGCTGAGTCATCTGTGTCAAACATCTTATTTTGACAGCATCAGCTACGATCTCCAACAGCAGCTCAACCTCCTCAGTCTGGTCACTTTGATGAACATCTTACCTGTGTGGCGGTGGACAGGCAGAACAGGATGCTGAAGACCAGCTGGGCGGTTCCCGCGGTAACCAGGACAAAGTATCCCAGAGTCCAGGATAATCCCAGCAGCACGGACAGAGAGAAACTGACCAGGATCTTCTTGGTCAGAGAGGAGCGTTTGGTGCTGACAGGTGGACAGAAACAGAGGTCAGAGGTCAGACAGTTTGGAGCAGAACATTATGACCACCGGCTGGTGTGGTTAGAATAATCTATTTCTGATTAAAAACTGAATTTATTCCAGTTTTTTAGACAGTGATAAATCTGCAGTCATCATGGCTCCAATATTTCTATTAATATAGAGGTAACAGTTCCTACTGGGATCAAAGGTAGACTCAGGTTTTCCACTAATGAACCAAGAGACCTTCCACAGGAAGTGAGCGGCTCCTCCAGGACAACCATCCATATAGTGAGAGGACTGTAGCGGGATGGTAGATTTCACTCAGATCTAAGTAATCTAGAGCAGGAATGCCCACCAGTTATCCAGGCTGATACCAGTGTACGGGTCTGCATATCGATTATGGAGAAATTACTGGTGGATGATGGGAAAAATGAGCCGTTCCACTGGGAAAACAGGCAGAGATCCAAGACAGAAACTAGAATAAGTTTAAAGTTTAAAGTTAAGTTTAAAGGCAGCTTTTAAATCTTCATCAATCTTCATCAATCAGAAGCATCAATCTAAGTGATAATAATGATATTAATCATCTTTAATTTTATAGAGCTTTCAAGAAATAAAAACTTTAAACCTTGATAGGAAATTAATAACTCATAATTAAAGTAGATGATTCAGTAATAATGAGATAAAAAGTCTTTAGTTATTAGAGATCAAATTAGAGGAAGTAACCTAAAATTAGATTAAAAGGGGAAAAACAAAATGGGTTTTCTATTCTATATTATATTCTATTCTATATTCTATTCTATTCTATTCTATTCTTTTCTTTTCTATTCTATTCTATTCTATTCTATTCTATTCTATTCTATTCTATTCTTTGTTTTTCTCCAGAGAAATATTAGAAAACGTAAATGTTTCTCCAGGCAGACCTTTCATCATTATCATCATAATTATCAGAGCCGTGTTTGTAAAAAGATCAACCATCTAAATATTTCCTGCAAACATATTTATTAGCTTTAGCAGTTAGCCGCTGTGGTGTTTCAATCCTAATGTTTCTATCGAAGAACAAAAGGTTGATCTGAAATCTGCTTTCAGGTTGTGACTGTGTCCTGCAGGGGGCAGCAGGTTACCTGGTGAGCCTGGAGTCCACCCTGCAGGTGATCAGAGAGGTGAGGACCAACAGCACCGTGTTGTAGATCAGAACCAGGCCCAGAGGAAGGAGGAAAGCCCAGAACATGGGTTTCCTAAAGCTGAAGCGTTTCTCCTGATCCAGAGCGGCGAGCCAGCAGCTGCAGAACCAGAACACAGCAGATCAAACATCTGCTCAGCATCTAAAGGCCTGAGGAACCGGTTCAAACCAGACCACTCACAACTCCTCCTGTCTGTATCCCAGAGGCTGGTCCATCCTGTAGGTGGCTGCCAGTGTGATCGCCATGACAACCACTGGGACTCCTGGCCAGGAAGAACAAGCAGAACTGATTGAAGCAAAAACCTGCTCCGGCTCTCTGGTAGATGTTTGAGGTTGGTAGAACCTGATTGGACCCTCGTACCCCATCCGACTCCCACGCTGAGAGGAGTCCAGTACGGCGGCAGGCTGCGGTGCATGGAGCGGACCAGCAGAACCAGCTGGGTGCCGTACACGCTGTTCCATGAGAACGTGGCCAGAAGGAAAAGGTGTAGAAGCGCCGTCACCGCCGTGCAGGAGCCTGCATCCGGCTCTATGTGCTGGTCAGAGTCCAGGAGGAGGTTCTGCTCCTCCCTGCTGCTCTGAGGGGCGGAGTTCTGGACTCCAGAAAGGAAGGTGATGATGAAGGCCAGCAGACTGAGGTAGATGCACAGCAGAGACATCCTGGAGTTCACATTGGTTTGTTGGTTCTGCGGCTTCCTTAGAAAACTGAGCAGAGAGACAGAAGAAAGTAGTGAAAACGTGCGAGGGGGAGGAGAAAGGAGGCGTGGTCATAGAAAGTGTGCTGAGCTTTTATCTTCACGCCTCCATCACTACTTTTTGGGCCTTTGGCTGCCGGTCCTGTTTGGGTCTTTATGGTTGTTTCTCTGCCACCTTTGAACATCTGCAGACGGATGATTGTTCTTCCATGAAAAACAGATCAAGGTTTCTCAGTTGGACTGGATGGAGAACATCTGGGAACATCTGGTCTGATCTGATCAGAGAACCCTCTACTAGACGTCTGCTGTGTCCTTTATGTTCTGGACCAAACTGCAAACAGAACTTTTCTGGTTTCCTGTTTCTATAAAGACGGACGTCACGCCTGACAGAAGCTGCACTTCCTGCATAGCAGCTCCTGTTTGTTCCATGATGTTCTCCAACATGAGAACCTCAGAGTAGCTGGAGGTAGATTTAGCTAACATTACACATGCAGACTGTGGGGGAGGGTGGGTGCACTGTATTTGGATGGAGGGGTTACCGCGGTAACGGGCCCTGCATGTAAACCCAAAGATGAAAACCCTTCAGCAACATCTTAGCCTGCGTTTGGTTTCCTTCAATGGTGAGGAAGCCTAACTGCTGCTGATTTAGCAAAAATCCCTGAAATACACCTGGACAGGTGTAGCTGTCCACAGCATAGCAGGCCATAAATGAACCAGGACCTTCATCTGGGCCTGAGGATCAGAAATCTCTCCCCCGTTAATGAGGATGGGGACAACTGGATGAGCTGTTTGGAAGAAAGAAAAGGTTGAAGCTCTCCTGGTTGGTGTTTATCCAACAGCAGGAGGAACGGTGAATGTGCAGCAGTGTCATACCGACTTACTTCACTTTGAGGTGGTGAATGATGGTAACAACCAGGCCAAGCAGGGAGAGGGACAGTCCCACGATGGAGAACTTGCTCAGGGGTTCTGCATACTTATAGTCGTTTCTGTAGGACTGAAACACATCTGGTCAGAACTGGTTCTTTAAATCCTGGATGACCACCAGCAGGCAGTGCTGGACGGACTGAAAGTTCCCTTCGTGCACTTTGAGTAATTATACCTACAGAGTCACACCTGAGACCCATAATCCTTAAGGATCAAAGGAGAATGACCCTTAGCAAGCAGAGACTGGAGGAACTCTAGAACCGTAGGCACTGGGCAGGAAACTGGGTCCTCATTGAGGGCCAACCACCACTGAGAAAGTAGATGGCATCAATTTTTGCATTGAGTGGAGGGGGCCTTAGAACTCAAAGTGGTGCTTAATGATCTTACAGCCTTCCAGTGGCCATACCCACAGCTGGAGACTTTGAGGGTTGGGGTGCTATATCTGTCCCCCCAACTGAGAAAGCAGATCAAACCACGGCCATGCTGGCCATAACAGAGCAGAAGCTTGTGGCCCTCCTCGAAAACCCTCTGTGGAGTAGGCCAAATCGGCGGGTGGGAAAGCACACAGGAGAACCCGAGGCCAGGGATGTGCTAGCACATCCTGACCCAATGCGACCGAAGCCCTCGTCAGGGAATACCACAGAGGGCATTGAGTTAACTCCTCTATGGCAAACATATCCACCTCTGCTTTACCAAAGCGGCCCCAAACCATGTGCACCACATCGCAGTGAAGAAACCACTCCCCTGGAAATGGGCCTGGCGAGAGAGAGAGTCTGCGACCTGATTGTGCACCCTGGGTAAATACATTGGACGTCCGATGGACAGATGAAGAGTGGCGCATTTTAGGAGATTCCTGACACCTTCAAGGCTCTACAGACCCGTTGCCTCCCTAATGGTTTATGTGGTATACAACAGAGGTGTTGTACAAGAAAGACCTGTCTCACCATGCTCCCAAGGCATTGAGGCACGTCCACGTCATTGTGAGTGTCCAATGCATGTGCTGGATGGTGTTTAGATGAAAGCCATCTTTGAACAGGGCGGAAGAGAAACAAACCCAGGGGCACAACACGGGTGACAGAAGTCAGTTTGCCTTGCATCTGCAGGAAGGTGATGCCAAAACTGGATCAGCTGACCAGCTTGAGTATGTTGCTTACCCTGTGGACAGATGGACGAGCCATCATGATTGAAGAGTACAACTGCATCCTGAGAAAGATGGATGTCTGAGATGGAACAAGGCAGCCGAGTTGACCTTGAGGACCAACAAGGACATTTGGGCAAGAAGCCAGAATGTATCCTGAGACGCAAATTCCCAATAGGGGACGAGACGCTACCGTCACCAGATAGAAAAAGCAAAGATCATTTAACTAAAAAAAGATACCGTTTGAACCATAGCCATAGTCATATTCAAACCTCAACAATAAGGTCAGCCAAACTGGTTAGAGGCAAAAATGCTGTGTCACCAGTCATAACAAAACAGCAGTCACCAACCTACAATAAAGACAGAAAACACAGTAAGAAGCAGTGAGATGGGAGGGGGTCCAAACGCTGCTGTCACCAACAACGAGGATACGGACCTTGCAGGTCCATATAAAGATCAACCTGTTGCAGCCCTAGGAGAGAGAAATTGTCGTAGCTCCAACCAGTAGGCAACCTGACTTCCAGGAACAGGGAAACAACCAAAGAATGGTCCAAAAAGATAAACTCTGATGCCAAACAAGGCAAACCGCATTTGAGAAGAGGTAAGGAATGGAGCCCTGGATGAGGCAGCATATACAGCTTCTGAGTGGTCACCCAGGGTTTTACAGGTGTGACTCTGTTGGTTTAATTACTTGAACTGCGCATGCACGAAGGTAACATTCAGCACTTTCAGTACCACCCTCTGGCAGTCAGTAGGGATGACATAGAACTCTAGGAAGAACTGCTGCAATCCTGGTAGTGGTGTGTGAGAATCACCCAGAGAGCTGCGAAGTTGGTTGTGTGGTTGCAGAAACATCTCAGAACACCGTCTGAAGCGTTTCCCTTGGAGCAGCCTTGGGTGCTCCAGTCCTTCAGGCTGTAGTCCCAGAAGACGCAGGAGAAGTCATGCAGAGTTGTATTTTCTGGCAACTGAAACAGAAGCAGCCAGAAGTTTCCTCAAACCTCTGACAGATCAGACCCTAAACGCATTAGAGGTGTTGGAAACGGTCCTCCATCAGTGTTCTTACTGTTGGTCGGAAATGCATCTCCACAGACTGTGGCACCATGCTGCGCTCTGGATCCCTGACGCTAGCAGACAGCACCCTGATGCTAGCCTTCTGCCTCCTGTAGAGCTTTGATGAAAAGAAGTGGCTGTTCTGGTAGAGGACAAACCCCAGAGAGACGTCGGTCTCCTTTTGCCGCCGTTCAGCGCCCCCTGCTGGGTGTGGGGTTATAGATGTAGGGTCATCCCTTGCTGAATGGAGGTGAGATGGTCTCTGCTGCAGGAAACCCACCTGATGGGAACTGGATGTAAATCAGAGCATCGGCTTTGAAACCGCTGTCCACAGTGACCTTTGACACGTTGGTGTTCAGCTGAGTCCGGTTGGCTACAAAACTGCCAGACAAGCCTGAAAGAGAAGGTTGAGATTCAGGATGAGGGATTGCTGGGCTTGGTTGGTTCTTTGGTTCTTCCTAGGCTTCTCTACAAGGTGTCCTGAGACCGCTGCTGGATTGCTGCTGCCAGTTTCCAGAGGGCCCCGGACCTCATAATCCCGGAGCACCCCCCACAGGGCACCACGAAGGACACGGTCGAAAGCCGGATCCACAAAACACATGTGGACTGGTGGGGCGAACTCCCACGAACCCGCGAGCACCCGACGTTCCTCCTGGATCCAAGGTTCACCATCGGCCGGATGCTCTCTCTCCAGCACCCTGGAGAAGACATTACCGGGGAGACTGAGGAGTGTGATCCCTCTGTAATTGCAGCTCACCCTTCAATCCCCCTTTTTGAAGAGAAGGACCACCACCCAAGTCTGCCAGTCCAGGGGTACTGGACCCGACGTCTACGCAATACTGCAGAGACGTGTCATCCAAGACAGTCCTACAACATCCAGAGACTTAAGGTAATGAGGATAAATCTCATCCACCCCTGGGGCCCTGCCACCAACAAGCTTACTAACTACCTCGGTGACTTCAGCCTGGCTGATGGGCTAGTCCGCCTCTAAGTCCCCATCCTCTGCCTACTCCTCGGAAGATGTGAAGATGGGATTGAGGAGATCCTCAAAGTACTCGTTCCACCCCTCGACAACATCCCTAGTCAAGGTCAGCAGCTCCCCACCTGCACTGTAAACAGTGTTGGTGAAACACTGCTTCCTCCTCCTAATGCGGCGGACAGTTTGCCAGAACATTTTAAAACCTGATAAAAAATATTGGATTGTTTATTCTGGTTCTTGTGGTTTTTACGGTAAACCTCAAAATCTCTTTCTATTCACTTCCAAACGGCAGTTTCAGCAGGGATTCCCAGCGCTGCCTCCCGGCGGGATGCTGGAGGCCAGGAGCTTCCAACAAGAACTGCAGATTATAGTGGGATTATAATCCAGATGAACTGATGAACAGAGGATGTTTGGAGGTGGACTTTCTCACTTAAAAACCTGTTCAAACTATTTTCCAGCTCATAAAGTAAATGAAGCCGAGCTGCCCTCTAGCTGGAAGCTACAGAACAGAGCAGATAAACAACCAGAGCAACTGATCCAGATCCAGAGTCCAGATTTCTGCGTTAGATAGTTTTTGACGTCCCGATCGCCTTCATTGTGAACGTAACATTAGAGACACGAAGTCTGCTCCAAACTTTTCTTTATGGAAAGTCTGATTAATCCTGAATGAGTAATGAATCAAATCGGTGAAACATTTCAAGCTGCATCTATCTGCTGTCAGCAGCTCCCACCATGATGCATGGCCCCACTGACCTGCCAAGGTGGTGAACTGGACTCCCTGAGTGTCTGAAGCCTGGATCTGAGCCGACTGGACCACCAGGTTGGGTTGGACCACCTGGGACGTGTTGGAGGTCCGGCTGAGGTTCAGAG